CTCACAAGCTGCAGGTTTTTATTGCTTCACCCTGCATTCTGGAGGCGTCCAGAACACGGAAGGCTGAGAGAGGCAAATGGGCAGCTTGAATATTTAGTGTGCTTCAGGCAATCCCTGGGGAGGTGTGCCCAGGAGCTAGCTAAGGAGAACATAAATAGCCTGAGGTCTGGAGCAGCCCTTGTCCTTGTCCTGCTGGAGACATTCCATAGCCTCAGGGACTCTGCCCCTCTGAGGCAGTTTTTTTCTGGAGTACGCTGATGTTCATCAAGGTCCCAGCTGTGACAGAGGTGAAGGGCCTATTTTTTATCACCTTTTGAGCTAACTAAGCAGGCACACTCAAGGATCTGGTCTGAAGGACTCACTGAAGAGTGCTGGATGGAAACTATTTACTGGAGCCAGAATGACTGTTGTCCGTGTGATTAGTGGCCTCTGCACTGTTCTGGGAAGAACCAGTTAAATCCAGTAGCTCCTGCTGGGCTACTGTTACACCAGGGGTGTTGGAACATGCAAATGTGAAAGAATGTGACAGGGGATCTCATTATTGGAGTTTCCAGGACATACCATGCAGGACATGCATAGTAGCCAATCAGCTTCCAGTTTTTTTTTTCAAAGCTAAATTGAACAAGCTGAACTTAGAAGCTGATTGGCTCCCGTGCAGCACTGCACCAGAATTTGCACTCTCCAGTTTTAGTAAATCAACCCCAATGTCTTCCTCAGGAGTAAGGATATATATCTATTACAATTTTTTTTTTTTTTACCATACATTCATCTTGCATCACCAAACCATATTATTCAGTGTCAGTGTCAAAACATGCACTTGCAATCTTGAAATGGTGTAGACACATAGAAATCAGCCTGTTAAAAAACAGATGTTCACAAGGATCGCCTGGACATCACATGGCGACTGTAGAGGTAATTAATGAAATTATAATAATCCTGAAATTCTCCTGAGTATCATAAAAAAAGTATTACATGTGTACAATTAAATATAGACCATCCTCAATTATGTCTTTATATCCTCATGCAATCCTATTACTCTATATCTCAACAATGAGTATCCCTGTGGGATAAACCCTGACCCTACTATGTGGTGGCCCCACCAACAAGAATAGATGAGTATAAATTATGATACCCCTATAACATATTAATATCCATATACTCTTATTCCCCAAAGTTAGCTTTATTCCTCTCTCCACTATATCTTTATACCCAATAATATAGAGCCTTGCCATTAACAGAATTTCAAAAGAAAATACCTAAAAAAAGGATATTGAAACATTTCTCCTGATGAAGATTCCTGCATAGTGACAAGATATCTCTACTTCTAAAAGCCAAAAGAAAGAAACCACCAATTAGAGAAAGTATCCCCCCATACCAGTGGTCTTCAAACTGCAGCCTGAGGGCCAAATGCAGGCCGTTTGTTTGCCTTTACCTGGCGCTTGGGGCACTATTCTTCCCACTGATACATGGCACTAGTCCTACCACTGACACCAACAGTGGGACACTATTCCTCCTTCTGACACCAATGATGGGGCACTAGCCTCCCACTGACACCAACATTGGGACACTGTTCCTCCCACTGACACCCACACAACAATGGGGCACTATTCCTCCCATTGACACCAATAGTGGGGCACAATTCCTACTCCTCCTGACCACAGATGCTATGTCATTTATTTACTCACACTGACCACCAACACTGAAACCTTGTCTACTCTCACTGATGCTGGGGCAATTACTACTCCCAGTGGTCACAGTTCAGCCCACCTAAAGTCTGAAGGAAAGTAAACTGGCCTGTTTAGAAGGTTTGGAGACCCCTGCTCCATACTGATATAGGGGTAAAATACAATAACAATGGTGCTCTGGCTGCCCATAAAGAAAGCTATTTATTTCTTTGGGAAGTTATAAAATTTCGGAGCTTACACCAAGGGGGTTCCAGTAGAAATAAATTTACGTGGGTTTTTGATTGATGGTTAGTATGGACACTATAAGGCATGTAGGCTATGGATAGCCAGAGCACCATGGAACCAAATGTTGGAAGTTCCACATTTTTATGTCACATGATATTAGCACAGAAAAACACTATCGTTAATTTTAGTGCATAAAAACAAAATACATTATCCACTCTTTGATAAAATATAAAAGTTGAGGTTATTCTGAGTACATAGATACCCAGCATGTCAACCTTCAAAACTGCACATGCCTGTGATATGGCAAAAAACTCTAGAACCATACATTTTCCAGAGGTGACACTTCAAAGGCTGTTCAAGGTGATCAGTTTAGAGGTAACCATGAATAATTTCCCTAGATTTATTGATCTCAAAAAACATGTGCAGTGATATGTAACAGTGCAATCAAAGTTTTTGTATGTAGGCACCTCTAACGTGTTTGCTTACATACACTCACCAGCCACTTTATTAGGTACACCTTTCTAGTGCCAAGAAAATATCCCCTACACCATTACACCACCACCAGCCTAAACCATTGATACAAGGCAGGATGGATCCATGCTTTCATGTTGTTTACACCAAATCCTGACCCTACTGTTGCCTTTCTATCATCTCAAACTAGTCTGCCCATTCTCCTCTGACCTGTGACATTAGCAAGGTATTTTCGTCCACAAAACTGCCGCTCACTGGATTATTTTCTCTTTTTTCGGACCATTCTCTGTAAACCCTAGAGATGGTTGTGCTTGAAAATTCCAGCAGATCAGCTGTTTTTGAAATACTCAGACCAGCCCATCTGGCACCAACAACCATGTCACGTTCAAAGTCACTTAAATCCCCTTTATTCCCCATTCTGATGCTCGGTTTGAATTTCAGCAAGTCATCTTCACCATGTCTACATGCCTAAATGCATTGACTTACTACCACATGATTGGCTGATTAGCAATTTGTGTTACCAAGCAATTGAACAGGTGTACCTAATAAAGTGGCCAGTGAGTGTATGTACATGCATTCGTGTTTACATAAGAGTGGGAAGGCTCAATTTTATTTTCCAGGGGGATTAAGTGCTTGGGGGTGTACCTTTAATTTTGTACACTTTTTTCACTTAACTGTATTCCTATCACATAGTGGACCAATAACCCCCGTGTGATAGCACATATATTGTGGCATGCTCTCTTTAATCGGACATCCGCAATCTATTAGACCCCTAATGTCTCCCCTTTACACCACTGAAGATAATGGAGCACAGTTGTGCTCAGTTAGTTTCTTCCCCAATCACACCTGGGGAAACTGAAGGACAAAATGCTTGTCGTTTCCAGGTTCTTTGTAGCTAGGGGAGATCAGTGAGCTGACATTCTTTGGTCTTCTTCCCCTCTACCCATCTATACCTGTCATGCCATTCCTGGGCTCGCAGGTGTCATGCGCGGAGAGGGCGCCCAATTTGTGGAACTTATCATGCAGCTCTACAATCAACGAATCTCTTCCATGTAAAAGCCAACGGTGGTCAGATTTACATGCATTGTATCATGCGCAAACCCCCCCACTGCTGACATACGTTGGTGGGGAAAAAGATTAATGGTGTTCTGGATAGCAGAAAAAAACTTGAAAGATGTTCTAATCTTTCCACATTTTATCCAGAACCAAAAAAGTTTTTTAAACATTAATTTTGTAAAATATTTTGTTCTTTTTTTTCTAGTTTTTTTCTCTTTTGTTATGATAACTATTTTGAACTGTTAATATATTTCACAGAAATTATTCTGTTTTTTTTATCTTGTATTAAGACATGTACAGTGAGTAATGCTTGGTGGACTAATAAAGGATCAATAGAAAAAAGACATTGACCTGTGCTTTCATATTTAAAGCAGTTCTCTGCCTTGCTTTTAAAAAAAAGCTGTGCTGTTTATCTTTCATCTGGCATTATCATTGTCACAATCATTTTGTGTAGGCAGCAATATTCTTAATCCTTCCCTGGTGATGAGATGTACTGACCCAGTGAGCTTGTTTCTCACAAAGAAATCTAATGGTGAGTCCAGAAGATAGATAGTTGCAGCATGCGTGTCCAGATTAATTATTCATACAGAGGGACACTCTGTGAAAGCTAAAGAGAGCGGCTCATCCCATCCATAAATTACACCATTACAGTGGGACTGCAGTGATACATTGTGCAGACCACACAAGCAGTAAGTCATGTTGCTTTTGATATAGCGAGTACAGTGAAATAGAAGAAAACCCCTCTTCTGAAATGACTATAATGCCACAGCCTGCCTCTAAAGTGGCTTCTTATTCTGGACGGCTAGTCTTTGGTTCTACCAGTGTGCCTCATGTTATATAGTTGATTTAAAGTAGACCTTTCAGGAACTTTACAAGTCTGCATGACGTGTCACAAAATAAAACAGCAGTATCATTTCTAAATAAAATAAAAACTCCAGCTTTTATCATTTATCATAATTGTAAGTTCAACTTTCAGGAAGATTTTCAGGAAAAAACCCCTATGCAATTTTATATCTACTGAACAGTACTACATACCTTTGTTCCTCTTGTTGAAAATGGTGAAGGTCCTCCCATGCCCAGATGGAGCTGTTTTGGATCCTCTTCAGAAAACATAAGCTCGCCCCCATGCCCGAACTTCACTGTATTGCGCCCCCTAGCAGCTACTCTGGATTGTTCAAACTGCCCATTTGCACACTTGCACACTTGGCCTTAGTAGTGGCCGGGCAATTCAAACTCTTCAATAGTTCTCTAGTTGAGTGGACTGCACATAGTTTAAATGATCCAGAATGGCAGCTAGAGTGCACAATATAGTGGAATTCAGCTCATCCTGCAAACATTTATATTATAAGCTTGGTGGAAAGTTGTTCACTTTCAGATCATTGCAAGTGACAAAGGGGCACTAATGCACCTGGAGGAAAGAGGTTTAAACCACCACATACAAAAAGGCTTATTTACTTCAAGAGCTTTGGAAAAGTGGATTTATCTCTCACAGAAGCTGGATCTAGCCAAGTCAGTAGATTCCTCTAAATTAGTGCTGGAAGTGTTGTGTAGCAGTCTAGCCCAGGAGCGGACTGACCATTCGAACACTCGGGCACTGCCCGAGGGCCTGGGGTCAGTAGGGGGCCCTATAAAATGTCCCTGGTACCTTTTATAGGATTTTTTGGGTGTGTTTTGAGTGTGGGCAAGGACACAGGGGCCCCATGATCCCCAATTGCCCAGGGGCCTCATGTGTTGTCAGTCCGCCCCTGGTCTAGCCGCATGCTGGGGAGCATATCCTCCCTGAGGTGATATAGACCTCCCCTGAGTGTCAAAACAGAGATACCCAAGGGAGGTCCCTGCCTGGCCCAGTAACCCGTTCCATAGCAACCTCCCCCAGAAAATGTTTTGCTTCCAGAAAACCTTCCCATCTTGAGGTTATGAGAAGAGGAGAGCACACACAATGAAAGCTTTTCCACTTTTTACTGAAACGCAGTAAAAAAAAAAAAAAAAAAAAAAAAAAAAATATATATATATATATATATATATATATGTATATACCAGGGGCGGACTGACAACTCATGGGGCCCCCGGGCAATAGGGGATCATGGGGCCCCTGTGTCCTTGCCCAAACTCAAAAAAGCGATGAAAAAGGTACCAGGGGCATCTCATGGGCCCCCTACTGACCCCGGGCCCTCAGGCGGTGCCCGAGATACCAAATGGTCAGTCCGCCACTGGTATATACACACATACAGTCAGGGGCGGACTGACAACTCATGGGGCCCCCCGGCAATAGGGGATCATGGAGCCCCTGTGTCCTTGCCCAAACTCAAAAAAGCCTATGAAAAAGGCACCAGGGGCATCTCATGGGGCCCCCTACTGACCCCGGGCCCTCAGGCAGTGCCCGAGTTTCCAAATGATCAGTCCGCCCCTGCATACAGTACATCCTTCCAGTCATCTCAATGGTGATGAAGCATTCTTTAGTTGGAAACAGATAACAACAAAGATAAGAGCAAAGTCGAGGAGTAACACATGCCTTTAGGGGTTTAACCAGAGTCTCACATCCCATGCCAAAGGGATGTTAGTAGTCCCAATAGTCCTTCACCTCTCTTTTCTGGCTTCTCCCTAAGCTAAAGGGGAATTTTGGATCACATTTATGGCATGCTTTGGTCATTGGATCAGTGTTAATTTTGTCAATCATAATATTTTCGTCAAACTAAAATAGTTTTAATTTAGTAGACAAAAATATTATTGTCGACAAAATTAACACTAAAATACGACTAAAACAATTTAGATGACTAAAATACGACTAAAGCTAAAATGGCATTTTAGTCAAAAGACTATGACTAAAACTAAATCGGAATTTTATGTCAAAAGTAACACTGCACTACCACATAAGAATAAGTAGGGGGCATCTACTAAGATGCTGAAAGGAAAAAAAAATAAGAAAAAGGCTCTTCTTATTTTTTCTTAATATTTAATGTTGGTAATATAATCAGGTAATATGTGCAATGGCATTACAGCCAATAGAGCTCACAGTTTTTTGGGGTTTTTCATATTTTAAGGTTGCACTTCTGTTTGTCAAAAAGCAACATTTTTGATTACTTGATATTTTTGACCGTGAGGAAGTCACGTGATGTAACGTGTGTGTGGGGGAGCCTAGTGACATCACTTCCGATATTGCACAAACCAGTAAGTGAGAATTTATCACCCGGGTGGGAATCTAAAATCCGGTCTCTTAAAGGGCTAATCAGTGGTGTGTTTACTCATTGTGCTGCCCTAGGCAACACTAAAATTGGGCTCTGCCCCTGCACCGTCCAAGTCAAACTCCGCCTGAGTAGCATTCAGCCAGCCGCGGCCATGGTTCTTATTCCTCAATCCAACGGCCTCCCCCACCTCAAACCCTAACCCACCCCCTCGGTGGCAACACCACTCTCCCCCACCGCCATCAATCCCCCCTTCCCCCCCGAACCACCCGATTACACTACTAACCTTAAAACACTAAACAGAAGCAGTCGGCCACATTCCAGCAGTGAGCAGCTTGACGGATCGCTGGCAGTGCTTCACTCAGTCCCCGTCCCTGCAGCTTGTGCCATCTCTTCCAGGGGCGGCGCTGCCCCCCTAAAAATTGCCGCCCTAGGCAAAGGCCTTGTTTGCCTCACGGTAAATACGCCACTGGGGCCAGTATCAAGGAAATGGCTACTAAGAGATAGCGGTGGACAAGCAAAAGATTTACCAATGTTTATAGTGCTTATGACCTATATGATATATGGGTCAAGGAAGAAGGTGAGTGCATGACACACTCATTGGTGATGGGAAGCACTTCTGTATATGTTGGATGAAGTGAACACTTTACAACACTGTTGTGGAGCACGGTGTGTTTTGCTGTAATGTGAGTATATAGGTTTTGTGCACTCAACCACTAGTTTTAATTTAAACGGTGTTGCGTTCCGATATATGTATTTTTTTTTTATATACACATTTTTGGAGTTGTGATGGCGTGAAGAAATTTTGGAGTCATCGCCACATGATTCACTTCTGTAAAAATGCATTTGACCTATTATAATTTGTAGGTCAAACTTAACCACATGCCGCCCAGCCACTGTATAAATACGGTGGCAGGGCGGCACGGCTGGGCAAAACCACGTTTTAAAACGTGTGTTTTGTAAACAGATAGGAGGTGCGCACGAGGTGCGCCGCCGCCCTACCTGTCCCACCGATCCCAGCCGCGGATGTCAGTCACCAGGTCACAGCCGGTCCTTACCGGCTATTTCCCGGCGATCGGCGGCAATCCCTGACAGAGAGCACAGCTGCAGTAGCTGTGCTTTCTGTCAGTTCCCTGACAGCTCCAGGACAAGCTGATCGGGACAGAAGAGTTTCTCTCTCCCGATCAGCGTTGTCCTGTGCAGTACACACCCCCGTCCCCTAGTTAAAACACTCCCCCTCACACAGATAACCCTTTCCCTGAAAAATAAACTTAACCCCTTCCTCCCCAGTGCCATTAGTACAGTGTCAGTGGTTTTTTTTTTTGCACTGATCACTGTATTGGTGTCACTGGGGATGTCAGTGACCCCAAGTCAGTACCCCCCAATGTCAGAATGTCCGCCGCAGTCCCGCCATAAGTCGATGATCACCGCCATAAGTCACTGATCGCCACCATAAGTCGCTGATCGCCGCCATTATTAGTATAAAAAAAAACTAAAAATCCCAGTATCTTTCCCGCCATTTGTAAACGCTATAACTTTCACGTAAACCAATTAATTTACACGTATTGGCTTTTTTTTTTTAGCAAAGACATGTTGCAGAATGCATTTTGGCAGAAATTTATGACTAAAGTTGATTTTTAATTTTTTTTTTTACTGGACGTGTTTTATAGCAAAAAGTCCAAAATATTTTTTCTTTCCTCAAAATTGTCAGCCTTTTTTTTTTATAGCGCAAAAAATAAAAACCGCACAGGCGATCAAATAACACCGAAAGAAAGCTCTATTTGTGTGAAAAAAAGGATGTAAATTTCATTTATGTACCGTATTGCATGACCGCGCAATTGTCCGTTAAACTAGCGCAGCGCTGTATAGCAAAAAAATGGTGTAAATTGCAGTATTTATACCATAGTTTGTAGACTCTATAACTTCCACACAAAGCAGCAATAAATATACACTTATTGGGATTTTTTTTACCAAAAACATGTAGCAGAATACATTTTGGCCTAAATTTATAACCAACTTTGAGTTTACTATGTATTTTTTATAGCTGAAAGTAAAAAATATTGTTTTTCTTCAAACTTTTTGGCCTTTTTTTGTTTATAGCGTGAAAAATAAAAAGCACACAGGTGATCAAATACCACCGAAAGAAAGCTCTATTTGTGTGAAAAAAAGGACGTAAATTTTGTTTAGGTGCAGCATTGCATGACCCGGCAATTATCATTTGAATTAGTGCAGCACCGAGTAGCAAAAAGAGGCCTGGTCATTAAGGGGGGTAAATCCTCTGGAGGTCAAGTGGTTAAACATGAGCAGGGAAAGTATCTTGAGCACAGGCATGTCTTCTGGAAAGTGATTGTTAAACGCACTAATTTGAACATTCTGTGATTTGGGAGTTGGACTTTTATTGGAGTGTGGATTTATCTTGCATGGGATTACTGGAGGATTTTTTTTTTATTTCATTTCATTTATATATCTGGATGAGGAGTTAGTGCCCTATATATATCTTGGTTTATATAAATTTTAAGCGAGAGTACATTCAGTGAGTGGATGCAGCAATCGTTCTTTGTTTATTTGTATTCAGGGTGTAGCAGCGCACGAGTATGAGCCTTTTCAATATTTTTGATTGTTTCTGAAACTTAGTTTTATTTATAAAGATGTTATATATCATATTGGCTGGTTCACACAGATGCGACTTCAGGTGTGACACGTGATTTACAAATCGCACCTGACCTTGCATCTAATGTATTTCTATGGCATTGTCCTAATCAGTGCGATTTGAAATAACGTGATTTCAAAAATAGTTCATGCACTACTTTTTTCTGAATTCTGATTTCATTGCAACTTGCATTGACTTCTTTTAAATGAAGTGGCAAGCTGCAGTGAGATCAAAGGTACAAATTGCACTGATCTGTGGCTTTAAAATCACACTACTTTGAGTGAAGTAGCGTGATTTCAAAGTTGCATTCAGTGTGAACCAGAGCTAAATCTGTGTCTTCAGCGCATGCTCAAACCTTACTTCCATAAATAATAATATGTTATTAGATTTTTACTCCAGTAGTATAAAATGAGTTTGGAAATTCTAGAGAAATGCTTAACTAAGGTGTTACAATATAACTAAACCCAATAGATTTTAGTCAGCTAAAATGTACTGAAGATGTTAGTTGACTAAAACATCACTAAAACTAAAACAATTCAGATAACTAAAATTCGACTAAAACTTAAATGGCATTTTAGTCAAAAGACTATGACTAAAACTAAATCAAAATTTGAAGTCACAATTAACTGCCTTGCCTTGTTTTGAATGATCAATCAGGCAACAGGTGGACTCCTGCTCAGGGGCAGACTGACCATTTGGAAACTCGGGCACTGCCCGAGGGCCCAGGGTCAGTAGGGGGCCCCATGAGATGCCCCTGGTACCTTTTTCATAGGCTTTTTTGAGTTTGGGCAAGGACACAGGGGCCCTATGATCCCCTATTGCCCGGGGGCCCCATGAGTTGTCAGTCCGCCCCTGCTCCTGCTAGATTATATTTATAAATCCCTCTACCCAAGATATCTCATATTGGTAGGGGCATGGCTGGCATTAACTTACTGTATTATCTATGGTACACCCCAGTCACTACTCTGGGGACCTCTAGTGGTAACCTATACATTTACACTACTTACACTGCTTGGTCAAACTCTATAGACCAGGGGTGCTCAACCTGTGGCCTACGGGCCACATATGACCCTTGGAGCCCTCTGATGTGGCCCTTGACCTCAAACCAGGGAAGTTGTGCCTGGGGTTGGCAACCTGTCGATCGTGATATGGGCTTGCCAACCTGCTATCCCAGAACATCAGAATGCACTGAGCCAGCACTGACGGTGAAGGAAGCAGGCAGCCGTGGAGAGAGCAGGAGACACATAAGCCAATAATTCCTCTGTAGCACAGACTCCTGTCCCAGGTGGAGTGATTTCAAGTCCCCTTCGCCTGGGACTTTTCTAGCAGCCTGAAGAACGATGCCAGCAGAAGCTTGAGGTGGAAAAAAGGTCAATGTATCAAACAGCACTGCTGTCAGGAATGGATTCAGCACTGGTGGTGGGACTCTCCTGCCGTGTGGGCTGCAGTACCAGAGCTGACCAGCGGGTGCTCTCAGCACTGGTGGTGGGACTCTCCTGCCGTGTGGGCTGCAGTACCAGAGCTGACCAGCGGGTGCTCTCAGCACTGGTGGTGGGACTCTCCTGTCGTGTAGGCTGCAGTACCAGAGCTGACCAGCGGGTGCTCTTAGCAGCCAGAAGCTCACAATCAGCCAAACCTGGGGCTGATTACAGAAAGGTGTATATAAGGCATGACCAGGCCTGTGCTCGGGGCCTTGGTGTATGTTTCCCCATGTGCCCCTGTATCCTGTTCCTAGTTCCTGTGAGAAGATACCTTGTTGCCGACCCTGCCTGATCCTGATTCCTGTTGACCGTCTCCTGTTCTGACTACTGGCTCATCCCTGACCATCCTTCTGCCTGATCCTCTGTACTGCGCTGTCCGTGAGTTACTGAACCCGGCTTGTGACCTTGACCATTCTCTGCCTGCTCCTTTGATACCTTGCTGCCCGCATGTTGCTGACTTGGCCCGTCTGACCACGCTAACTAACTACTCTGCCATCCATCCATCCTGCACGGATCCAGCCGTACCTGCACATACCTCTGGCGGATCCCTCTATCACTAGCAGGTGTACTCAGGGGCCGGACCTGGTTCCTGTCTGCTCCAAGTCCATCCCCACCATCAGGGGCCCTGGTGAATAGCAGACTGGGACTTAGACTCCGCGCCCTGGGGAATCCTGCCCTGAGGACCGCTAGAGGTACCACCAGGCAGTCGTTACAGAACCCTACGGCCGGCCTGACCATTCCACCTCTCCAGCCCTGACTACGCCTGTGTTCCTGCACCTCCTAAGATTAGTGGAAGGTTGGTTTGCTCACTGTATATATATATATCTGGGTGGCTAATAACCTGTATTATACTATACCTGAAACCTGCGTTTCCCTGTGTCAGTCCGCACCTTTCTGGTCATTCCTTGATTCCTGACAACTGCACTTTTGCAATGGGCATAATAGCACCTATAAAATGGTTAACAACTATTAGGCTGCTTTCACATCCAGGGGTGCAACAGCGTGCACCTGTGGGTTTCCTGCGAGTTAGTTGCACTGAGCCATAGACTTCTATTATATTCTGAGGGTTTGCTGCGCTTTCCTGCAAGCACACCAAAACTCCTGAATGCAGAAGTTTTGGTTTGTTTCTAGAAAGTGCACCACACCTGCAAGATATAATAGAAGTCTATGGCAAAGCACAGGAAACCTGCAGGTGCACTGCATTGCACCCGCGGTGCTGGTAAACTGCAGCGCATCAGCGTGAAAGCAGCCATGTAGGGTGTTCAAGACAGTAAAGGCTCATTTACATTTGCAGTTTTCCATAGTTGAGACATGCTTTTATTTAACCCCTCCCGACCCCCAACCACTGGTGTGGCATCAGGGTCATGTGGCCTCCCTGTTACTTTCTGTTTTACACTTGGGACAGGACGGGGGCGGTATACAAAGTAACCGATCCTCTCCATTTTCCTCCTGCAACTGAAAGCTGTCTTCTTCTCCTTTCTCTTCCACTGACATTCAGTGGCTGCAGAAGGGATAAGTTCAATATGCTATTCAAAATAAAACAATCAAATTTCTGAACCATTTCATATCATTTGGCTCACAAGTGGTTACCAAATCATTTAAGTGGTGCTCGTCCTTCAAAAGGTTGAGCAAGGGGTGCAATACATAATGTGTCTTTTTATTCTATAGTATGTAACTATGAAACTAATCAGATGTTTTAACAGCAATCTGCCTTCCTAAATAGGCCCATATAATGCAGTTGGTTTCCAAGGCCAGGGACATGAATGAAACAGTAGATTGCCATGGCAGGGCTACAAAGGGTTGAGTCCCACATAGTAGCCTCTGAGTCATTGGTATCTGTGCCACCATCAATAGTCATATACTGTTTTCTCAACATAGAATAGGATTAGGGTAATCAGTTACATATAGTTAGACTTCCTGACATTTTTCTTGTGTCTGCCTACAGCAATAAAAACCATGAGAGAGCTTTTAACTTTTCTAAAGTGGTGGTTTGTTAGTGTCTAGATCATCATTTGAGAAATTTCCTATCATCTCCTGTTCCAGTTAAATGGGACAGGAAGTGAGAGGAAATCTTGCCAACAGGGACACAGAACCCAATAAAAACCCATAAGAGGTTGTTAACTCTCCCCCACTTTCTCCAAAGCTTAAGAGTATTGGCTAGAGGTGAGCTTTAAGGCTGAAATCTGGGTAAATTAATGTAGCATTGTAATCATTAACAAATCATTGAGTGTATATTTTAAATACAAGCAGTGTAAGTACCTGAATTTGACCTGATATCGTCCTCTTGCAGTCCCTGTACAGTAGGGCTGGAAGTGTGAGAAGAAGCAGTGCAAAGAGAATAAACATGCTAACAGGGATAAAAAACCAGCTCATCACTATGCTGCTTCTCTTTTCACCATCCAGTCACAGTCTGATGATGGTCCAGGACAACCTCGGCTCAGAGGAAGTGGGTTGAATGATGCTAGCAATTAGACTGAGAACATCTATTGACAGAAAAAAGTACTGGGGGGGCAATCTCTTGAATGAATCTGAATATTAAAGCAAATGCTTGATTTTATATTGTATGTAAACAAAAACAGCATTTGCCTTAATAGAAAGAGCAATTCAATATTACTTTGTTAGTTTTGTCTGGAGTTCTGTTTTGAACACTAATGCAAATTTTTAAGGTGATCTTGCTTCTCTGTATGTTTTTCAAGTCTCTGATCCCAGAAATGGAATTCCTGAGGTCCTGCCAGGTGATAAACCTTTCCATACAGTGGAATACAGCCCTGACTTCCATAAATTTGGATCAACAATGCCGGTGGTGAATTTTAGGTGGGTATGAAAGAGTTTTTATTGGCAGCTCTTGCGTACACTGAGCCACATTCCCTGTAAATCTAGCTGTCCACTAGTACTTAGTGTCTTGTTAGCTGCAATGCTATATTTACAAACAAGTGCCAAAATCCTCATCTCTAGAGCAACGATTGTGTGCAGCATTGAGTTGACAGGATCAAGTGGGAAAGTCATTGATAGGAATCTTTTATTAACCTCTTGGCGCCTACTGGCCCTTTAAGAGGTTTCTGATGCCGGGAGGGAGCGGAGCTTAGGCTCATGTGACCACTGTGATTGGATGTCACAGCAGCCACATGATCGGGAAGCTCCCGATCACAAGTGGTGATTCGTAGCTTTGCATGAGACGTTGGTAACTGCGCCAGAAGCGTGCACAGCGTGCACTCTCGACACGTTTCTTTACATTGTCGAGGCCCAGCCTCCGAGAAGGCCCATCTGCGCCAAGGAGTTTAATACTATGATTAGCCATTCAATCCAAGGTACTCATGATTCACATTCACAACTAGGGCCAACCAGGGGCGGACTAACCATTTGGAAACTTGGGCACTGCCTGAGGGTCCGGGGTCAGTAAGGGGCCCAATGAGATGCCCCTGGTACCTTTTTCATAGGCTTTTTTAAATTTGGGCAAGGACACAGGGGCCCCATGAACCCCTATTGCCCGGGGACCCCATGAGTTGTCAGTCTGCCCCTGGGGCCAACTTACCTATGAGCATGTCTTTGAAGTCTGTGAAGAAACCAGAAGAAACCCATACAAGCACAGGGAGAACTAGCAAACTCCATTCACATAGTATCATAGATGAGATTACAAACCCACAACCCTAGTGCTGCTAGCCAGAAGTGCTATCCATTCAGCCACACTGTATTCATAAAAACAAAGCCGCGTAACTACCTGAATTTGACATGGGATTAGTCTCTTGTAGTCTACTGTGCAGCAGAGCTCAGAGAGGGTGATTGAGAAGCAGCACAAGTAGCCAGTCATATGAGCTGCAGTGCAAACAGCATGCTAATAAGAGAAGATGCAGTAGTGAGCAGAGTGGTAGTGAGCTGAGCTCATCAGTGTGCTGCTTCTCATTTCACTGTCCACTCACAGGGTGGGGTTAGTGAAGAGACCCTTAAGTAGAAGCGAAACTGCAACAGAGAAGGATCAACCCTCAACTTGTCAGGTAGGACTGTGCTGTGTGGCAGAGCTGTGCAAATCTTAGGACTGGATGGACAAAAATAAATTCCTTTGCAGGTAAAACAGTATTTCATCTGTATATTTAACTGTTTGCCTAGAGTTCAGCTTTAAAGACAGAATAATAAGGCAATGAGGATGATATAATCAGACACAGAGTCTAGTTATACCATGTCTCAATCTTCAGTATGTAACGCCCTCCAGGTTAGCCAGATAGGCTGGGTTTTTGTTTTTTAGGCAATGACAGAGTAGCAGCCTGGGATCAGTCAGCCTGGGAGTGAGATAGACAGGTTACCTCAGGACAGGCTAGGGAGATTTTGAAGGTCAGAGCTTCTGGAGCCCTCCCACCACACCAGAAACCTGAGAGCGTTCTTGAGGAGGGATGGAGGAGGGGATGTGGCTCAGAACTGTATACTTGAGAGAACCTAACCAATCCCCTGGCAGGACGCAGGGCATGGTGATCAAGGCAACCCTTATGTATGACAGAGCCTGGGGAGTGAGTCAGTGAGTGTCAGGTGGAAGCTGGTGTGAAGGCTGGAGTGTGGAACCTGAGAGGGGGCCTAGGGAAGGGGCATACCTACAGTCAGGTGCTGGAAAAGGGAATCTCCACTGCACCACCGTCTTCTAAGAGGGACATCCTGAGCAGCAGGGAAGGAGCCAGCCCAGTAGAAGGCAGCCACCAACCCAACAAGCTGACAGTGTGTGTGTACCCTTACACCTCATGAACCAGATAAGGGGAAAGGGCAATCAGGTGAAAAACCCAATTAGCTTCTCTTTTGGGACTGTTCTAAATTGGCATCTTCTGGTTCCCCTTGCCCAGGGAATACCCTCATTACAGCTGGGTGAAGAGGAGGATTCATCTGGGGTCTGAGGAGGTACACTAGAGGGCTTTGAATGCTCTCTGAGAAGAGACTATTTCTTTTGTTCACATCTTTGTACATAGTTGCTCTGAGTTGTCCTCAAGTTTCTACAGTTGCTTGGGAATCCCATACACCCCTCAACCCCATCCAAGTTCTGAACCCCTTCATAAAGTCCAGTGTGCAAAGAGTGGAAGAAAATGCGTGTTGCTTCACTATGCAGGGCTTTAGGGGAACCCAAAACTCAGCAACTCCTAAGGGGGTAGTACTACAAGTATAATGCCAATAACCTATGGAGAAGACACCGTACTCCAAGCTTTTGATCCAAGTTTCCTGGCCCCTTAAGACATCTGGAGTTCCTCCATGGCTCTTCAATATCCAGCCACATGGTCACCCTCTCAGGAAGCATGCCTAAGAGGATCCAATAGCCAAATACATCTCTCCTCTAGACAGGAGGCCCAAGGGAGAACTGACTTCCCAAGATCACACTCTGAATATTTATATCCTCTCCCAGCATACACCTCCAGCAATAAACCTCCTAGTGGTTGACTAGGGAGTGGTAAATATTCCAAACTCTAATTAGTGAAGCTCTCATACTATTGTCAAAAGCAGCAGTGACACCTGCTGACAGCATAAAGAAGCTGACAGTAACCAGAGCCCCAGGGGAACACTAAGAAAGCTGAACTATCAATTCAGCTAAGTTGAAACTTGTAAATGTTGGAAAAATGCAAAAAAAACCCCCCTCTCCTCTGAAAACAGGGATTTTGTCCAGTGTGATGCAGTATTTTTGCAATGGAGAGATGTGTTGTATTGCTTATCAAGTGTTAATATACAGCATAGTGGCATTCTTAGAATGAAGGTCTTCTGCAGAGAAAAAAAGACACAGTTGGACAGTAGCTTCTATAAGTATGTGAAAATCCTATTGCCTCTTTTATTTCTTGAAAAAAAACTAATATAAACCTAGTAAATAGCTTTCTGATGGCATTATGCAACATGCAGCTGTTCCCGAAGTCTTCCACAAAGTAAATAAGCAGAAATTCACTTATATCAGCAGTATATTTGTATCTCAGGAACTTCTTGGCCGGGCTGAGGTCTCAGCAAAGCTGCATCATTATTAGTGAAATGCTAACAGTGCAGAAGTTTAATGTGACAAAGTTTTTTTGGGCAGATGTCCACATGACCAGGTAATTGCTTGAAGGCAGCGTGATTTATAATAGGAAATAATAAGCGTATGCCATTTCTGTAAAAGAAATACTGTTCTTTAATGTTTGCAAAATCGTTTTAATCATACACAAATTAATTAAAGCTGAACGCCAGGCAAACAGCTAAAGGCATGGAAGAAAAATAAATATGAGTGCTGTTATACCTGCCAAAGGATTTGTATTTTTCTCTATCCTGTCCGGAGATCTACACAGCTATGCCACAGAACAGGCAGGACAGGAGACCTGATTTTTTCCTGCTGCATTTAAAGCAGAAATTAAGTCTGAAATATTTACCTCTGCTCCAACAGTACGACCCCAGAGATGTCTTTTGCCGGTGCCGGCATGCTATCCCTATCTTCTTGTGGGTGCTGGTTTTAGATTGTCTTGATTGGCCAGTGTCGAATGACATAACTCCTGCACATGCGCACAGGCACCAGTGTAAATTGAGCAGTGCATTTCAGAGTTCAGCTTTAAGTTACGTGTTAATAATGTATTTTTTTGGATTTCACTTTTTTGGTTTCCGTGATCACCAGGACATACAGGGTACAGCAATACAAACCTCACAGAGGTCATAATCTGTCCACACTCTATAAAAAAAACTAAAAAAAAAATGTTTTGACTGTACATAGACTTAAATTGTTCAGTAGAATATGACCACTGGTGTAAAACCGATATGGAAAATAGCAACTAGAAACACACAAAATGCCAAAAACTACCATTCCAGGTTAAGGAAACAGTAATACACATCCATAATCAGCTGTGGATCTGTTCCTGCAGGCTGCTCATGTAGAGCTAGGCTGGTTGTAACTAGTACACAGAATAAAAGTGGACAGGAGCATGGGATTAGAAAGCTGTGTATCTTTATTGGGCAGGGGCGGACTGACAACTCATGGGGCCCCCGGGCAATAGGGGATCATGGGGCCCCTGTGTCCTTTCCCACACTCAAACCACACCCAAAAAAGCCTATGAAAGGTACCAGGGACATCTCATGGGGCCCTCTACTGACCCCTGGCCCTCGGGCAGTACCCGAGTTCCCCAATGGTCAGTCCGCCCCTGTTATTGGGTAAAACACAACAGCAGACTCACATTACAGCAGCCAGATGCCAACAAAGAGCAATGCAAAGGACTGTGGGTGGAACCTGCTGTGTATATAAGCCTGGAGCATCATTCCCAGCTGCAATGTGATCTGCTGGCTGGATTGTCCATGGGTCAGTGGGTCAACCCATTTCAATGGTGTACCTCTTTGTCAAGCTGCCCCATTCATTTACTAAAGGAAAAGCTGCTCCGGTCGGCACTAGAATGGATACCCAGAAACACTGCACTGGAGTCTGCCTTAGAAATTATTCAAATTAGCAGAACAAAGTAAGTAAAACCAACATGGTTAGCCTGAGTGATTTCCTGACTACCTCCCACCAGGCTTTTGGTAAAAAGACAGCCGAGCTAGAGCTTCCTAATCCTTGGTGGATATCATACTATATCCTCCCAGTCACGAGCCTTGTGCAGAACCCAGGGGCCATGCTGTGGCAAGATCTGCTATCCGCTTTGTCCACCAGACACAGCGGAAGACAGATCATTTTACTGGCCCAGTACCATTTGAACACTGTGACAAATCCCAGCAATCACATGACAGTTGTACACAATGAATGGCTTACATTCATAGCCATTCATTGTGATTTTTTCAGTAAACTAGTTCACTCAGAATCTCATGCACTTTTGCATAGAAACCAATCAGCTTACTGGTTTTATTGCTAAAGCTTAATTTAACAAGCTGAGGTTAGAAGCTGATTGGCTACCATGCATATCTGCACGAGATTCTGATTGAACCAGCTTTAGTAAATAAACCCCACTGTGTACAATTGTGTTGATCTCAGTGATTAGTCACAGTATCACATGGTACAGACAGGGCCAGTCACAGCACATCTGTACCATGTGATAGTTGTGGAAAGTCACAGCTATCACAACAGTACACAGTGTCAAAGAATGGATGCCATTCATAAAAATGATTGCTTATAACAGTGATCATCACTGTTATAGGCAATCATAGTATTAGAAAAAAATTCTGATCACCTCCCCAGTATAGTACAGTGTCACTATGGTAAAATTGCACTGCTCTGGTCACAGTATGTAAAAAAAAAAAATGTAAAAAAAATGTAAATAAAAAAAAGTTTTAAAAATGTAAATTTATTAGATTTTTTTTTCACATACTGTCACCAGTCAGTATCCCTGATCACTGCCACGCCAGTCGTATGATGATGCTGCACTGCACTAGTGACTGTATGTAAAAAAATTGTGAAAAAAACAAATTGTATTAAATTCCTTTGTTTTAAAACAAATTGTGACAAGCAAGTCTTCAAAAAACTTGCCATGCCTCTTACTAAATACCTCGGATTGTCTACTTTACAAAAAGGGGTCATTTGGGGGGTATTTGTACTGTCCTG